GGAATGGAGAGCAGTAGCTACTAACCAGACAGATTTCTGTGTTCTCTTCATTCCAATCTTACAAAAGAGCAGGTATTCGGCAGCTACATTCAGAATTCAGCAAATATGATCGAGGAAGAAAAATAATCACAATGCAGAAATTAATAATCGGATAATTCATAATTGTAATGACTCGTAGACCATATCTCATTGGGATTGCCTCGAAGGGAAATATAACTGTCAATCTTCCACGCTTTAAAAATTACTACGATATTTTATTCACAGTATAACTTACTAGGAACATACGTTTATTGATTATAGGGTTTTGATACAGGTAATTCCTATTTCTCTTGAAAACCTGTAGCATTACCGTGTTTAGAACACAATCCGCAAAACTGATGCCTTTGTCATGCCTGAAACCATGCAAACACCTGCAGCCAGTCCTTTATCTTCCATTTGTAGACAATATTCTAGTTACCATGCCACCCTCTAGCTAGGGTCGAGCATTGAAGCGGATGCATCAGAATTTGCATGGACATTCCATGCGGAAATTTGGACACGGGAGAACATAAATACATTGCTCTGCTTTCAGAAGGGGGCATTACTCTTTAAGTTTCTGTTCATGGTATTTGGCCACTGAAAGCTCATGTTAGCAGCCTCGCAACCCCTTCAGAGCTACGGATGTTGCTTCCAGAGTCCTTCAGGGTTAATCAAATTGACAAACATTTCAAGACTTTCAGTAGGGCTGGATGACCGCCGACCAGGATAATTCCTTCCAAAAAATTTCCCAGAAAGTTTATGCACGGGATCATCATTTAAAGGCCATCTTCATGGCATTTCCGTCAGCATCAATCCCTCAATTTATGCACGACACTGAATTTCAATGAAGTTTGTCAAAATCAGATCCCTGAGAAAGATACCCTCCTGGTGGAAAAGGAGGGGGGGGGGACTGAGATTATCCAATAAACTTCGTCAAAGGCATGATATTAAAGTCAAAATCCATTCCCTCAACCCAAGTCAGTTCATCAAGACCATCATATACAACTAAAAAGTGGTTACTAGGAAGACAGTTCAAGCATCGTGATCCTGATGACTACTATGCTAGTCTGGATAAATATAACTATACCAAAATGATCAAGGTTATGTTTTGTCAGGAATAACTAAGTGACAGGAAGAATGAATTTATAGTTTTATGTTTTAAAATTTACTTCGAGAGGTAAAGTACGAGTCCATGCACAGGCATGAGAAGTCATCTGCTATTAGACTAGCTCTCAGACCATCCTCAACTATTCCCATCTTCTGTTAATCTAGTCAAACCAAAACTTTATAGATCAGTAAATGCATTTCCTACCACTAAAGAAATTAAAAACACAAAAAAAAAAAATTTTTAAAAATTTGGTGGAGTATGTACCAACATATTAAGTGCATGTAAGACTGTCAGAAGAACAATTTGTTAAGTACCCATGCCACGTGAAGCAAAGTTATGTGCTGTGTGAACATAGCATACCTTTTATAGCACTGAAGTCTGAGATGAAATCTACAAGTCTTACAGAGGCTTTCACAATCGCACTTAATGGAGACATTCAACAACGGCCAATGATAGTGTTGATATATGGAATCAGGTTATGTTTGAGCCAATGCATTTTCAAGTATGCTGCTAACCTCATCCTGCGGACCAAAATTTTCGCTCATATATGCTCTTACTTCTGATTCCTCTTTTACAACAGAACCAACCAGTAATTGATGAGTTTCAGTACTAGGAATCCAACCCTTCCCCAACATTACATCTAGCAAGCGACCAGCTGCACTCCTATATCCTTCTTTCAAAAGGCCCCTGATGAGCATGTTATAGGTACTGGAACCAAGAATATTAGAACAAGGGATAAGCTGATCCATAGCACTCAAAATCATGTGCATTTGAGAATGCTTGTCTAAACAAGACAGTGCAGTAGTTAGTGTTTCGGAGTTGGGTAATAAACCCTTGCTGAGCATCACATTGAAAAACCGAGCACAATGGTCTGGATTATCAGCTAGACTCATACTTTCTATGAGGATAAAATAAGTTTCTTCCTCAACAGGACAACCATCTACAATCATTCGTGATAATACCACTAAAAGGTCATCTGCCTTTTCTAACTTGGATAAAACTCGCATTATGCTGTAGTAAGCTACAGACGAGTACGATGTACCAGAACAATGAGCAAGAGATAGAAACCTGATTGCACTCTCGACTTCTCTTATTGCACAAAGCCCCTTAATGAACAAATCAAAAGAGGTTGACTGCAAAGCTACTTGCTTTCCTGACATATAACAATAAACTTCAGCAGCCTCTTGAATCTTTTCATTATAAGAAAGGCATCTAACAAGTTCAGCATAGGATACAGAATCCAAAACATCACACTTCTGCTGGACCTGATTGAACAACAGTATAGCATCATCAAGTTCATCCTGCTTGCATCTGCCAATGATAAGAGCGGAGTAAGTGATAGAGTCAGGAAGAAATGAAAAAACAATCATTCTACAAAGAACTTCCAAGGCTTTCTTGATATCGCCAATCTCACATAGGCACCGAATATAGAAATTCCAAGACAAGCTATCAGTTAAACTCCTCTCAAACATATCATCAAACAGATCTTTTGCTGCCGCAAGATTACCATAACTGCAATAAGCTCCAAGAAGTGCATTGTAAGGACAAGTTATATCAACATCATTATCTACTAAAAACTTCTTTGCTTCACTAAATTTACATAATGTACAAAATCCCTTCACAATATCCACATATAGATCATCCTCTGGAGTTATTCCGCTGTCCACCATCTCTTCAAAAAGGTTGACAGCTTCATCCACATAAAGATTCTGGCATAAACATATTATCATAGCTCCATAAGTTGAAGAATCTGGAGAAATTTTTGAAGCTTTCATCTTCACAAGTAACATCATCCCTGCCTCACATTTATTAATCTGACAAAGCAGCGGTACTATCCGAGTGTAAAAGCTCAAATCCACCTCACACCTAAGTTCAAAAATTTCATCTAAAAGAAGCAAAGATTCATCGATCCTTTCCCTGGCAATAAGTCCACTAATGAGAACCTCGAAGGTCCTACTATTAGGACTACACCCTTTCTTATTCATCCTTCTATATTGTTCCAAAGCTGTACCCACCCTATCATCCTCTAACAACGCTTCCAACAAGTAATTCAAAGTCTCCACGTTGGGAACAATTCCTACTTTCACCATTTCTTTATACACAAATAATACATCCTTGAAATCCCTCTTTGCCACCAAAAGTGCACCCATTACTATATTAAAAACACCTATTGAAGGCTTAAAACTACTTGAATTCATACAAGAAAGAACCCTTAAAGCCTCGTCAAGCCTATCATTTCTAACAAGACATTCAATCAATCCCAAGAAAGCTTCATCAAAACCAGGACATTTCTCCTTTAACATCTCATTACAAAATCCCTCCATTTCCTCAATATTTCCAGCCAAACCCAACTTCAAAATCATCAAATAATAAGTATCCACATTATGCTTAAACGTTTTCTGAAGTGAAGCCCATTTGAACAATTTCAACGAAGAATTTACATCAGTTGTGGAATCCAAGACATGGACCAAGATATCTGGATGAAGCTTATTCTTTAAAAATTGGATCTTTGACTCAAAATCAGAAGATTTTGACGGAGTATGATCAGTTTCTGAATTGATATGAACAACATTTGCACATGAAAGTGAAGAAAAAGTGGCATTTAAATTGACCCTTTTGGGAATTCTCTTTAAAAATGCTAAAGATGCAAGCTTTACGGCCATTGAAGTTCCATATGAAAGGTTTGCAGCAAAGAAAAGTAGTAAACAGCGGGAATGATCAAACTCTAACCTGGGATTTTCGCTTTTTAATGATTTGCCTGGGAATCGCTCCCTGTGGAAGAGGAAGAAGTAAAAGCTATAAATTGATTCAGGAAGTAATTTAACACCAAATAAGGAATGGGAGACTGGGATTCCGTGATTGCCATTGCTCTCCTGTTTCTCGAGACATTAATTTCTCAACCGGCATTTTAACATTTTTAGTGCAACTTTTTTAGCATATAGTACAAGTTTCGAAATTAGGGCTCAGGTTTTTCTCCCAAAAAAAAAAAAAAAAAGAAGCTTATGCTTAGGTGACGTTTGTGCAAGAACATTTGGATGGATGGGTAGTTCATTAGTTAGTCGCTAACAAAAAGTTAAAAAGAGTAATTTGTTTTCTTCTCCTCCTTACATTTTTTCATTTTTCTTTTTCTTTTTCTCTTTCTATTGGGTGTTCTTTTTTTTTTTTTTTTCAAAACGATAACTATACCAGACCAGGCGGATGCACTATACACCCGTTTGAATTTTTTTAACCAGTGTATCAATTGTTGGAAGGCAAGGTTCTCCTACCCCATCAAATTTTAATGATTTGGCGGTGGTTCATAGATGAAAAATTTTTTGATGTTCAATGCTAGAAGCAGCTCTTAGATAAGTAGATATATGTCCAACCAATTTTTTCATAAAAAGAGAAATTAAGTATGATGTAAATCATCAGTGGCCACCAAAAAGTGAATAAATCTCTCTTTGAACTGCAAGTCGGGGGTTTGAATTTTACCTGCAATGAAAAAAATTTAAAAGAGATACCAGAACACTCATTTGATTTATTGAGTCTATATATCTGTTAGTCTCTTATACATTCTCTTTATACTCTCCTCCTCCTAAAAGAAAATATATTAGATTATAGAAATAATATCATTATGGCAAAAAAAAAATCACTAAAGGAGAATGCTTACAAGGAAGAGAACAATTTCTCTCTCTCTCTTCTCTTCTTTTTTTTTTTAAAAAAAAAATTTATTGTAAGCTGTCTCAAGAATTGGACTTCTACTCCGGAGCCGAGCACCTTAGCATCCTTCTCGTTGAACTCCAACCAATTTTTATTTTATCAAGCCAACTTTAATTCAAACTCAAGTAGCTTAACTCATTTATACGTGAATTTGGAATTTTATTTGTATCAAAAGTTCAAAACCCAATATGAAAATTTTATTCAATAACCAAACCTGGTATCATTTAAGTGACACACCAGTTGGCTTGGCTTGCATACCATCTCAATTTGTGCAACTAGGTAATGGAATATAGCCATACAAAGCACAAAATGATTATGCACTATTAAGTAGTAGGACTCACACAACTCCCACTTTCCACTTTCCACCCCACCGGGCAATTTGATGGACCAAGCAACTCATGCTGCTTTCTTGACTCCAATGGGTGAGACTTGAGCGTCAATGCCCAAAGTCAGTGGACAAGTCATTAGTCCTGTACCATGTATGCCTGCCTCCTTCACTGCTTTTTTCCCTCCTCCTGTCAAGCCATAGGGGGTGTCAAACAGGAATTGAGTCCTAGTCTTTATGTTCCATCCCTTTTGACAATCAAGAAATTGACACACACGAGATTGGGTCACAAACAACAATTAGTGTAGTTAGATGGTTTTCCCTCCATGGGAGGATTAGCAGTTGTTAGTGAAAAAAAAAAAAAATCAAAGTCAGACTGCCGACTGATCTTCAATGGCAGCAGTATTCGCGGAAAGTAAACCAACCTTGCGTCAAACGTGCAACACGTCCAACAACCACAGACAATGACCGTTGGCTGTCGCATGAATCTTCCTTCCTTCCTTCCTTCGAATTGGACGCACAGAAAAGAGCATCATCTAGACAAGACAGTCGTTCATGATAATCGAGCTAGTACATTTTCAGATATGAATTTAACATTGCAATGGATCATTACCAGGTTGGGGAAAGAAAAAGCATGGCCCCGTGTGGTTTTGGAGACGAAACCAAGAAAAGAATAACTAGGACGGTTCTCGTTAGCTGCAAGAAATTAGCAGAAACTGGAGAAAAAAATAATTTTGAATGTTGTGAACCTAAGACCTAGCATATGGCAATTTGCCAGAGAAAACTGCTGCGATTTCTTAAACTGGCCTTTAAGCTTTTACCTTAGTAAATGTACGCAATCACGCAGAAAGACTTAATCTACCGCATGGCCCATGTTACTACACAAGATCATGTTTTGGATACCTAAGTGCATGTGCATGACTGAAGAATCCAATAGCAATTACAGCAAACAAGTGCCCGCCTGCATAAAAGAGCTCACATTACGAGGTTATGTTGTCATCATAATCCCAGCTAAAGAAACAAAGTACACCACCACAAAGACTAGGCAAGAATGATCCAAAATCCCAGCTGAAGCCTGAAGATACAAATTACACAGCATGAAAACCCAGAGACTAGGAGAAGAATGATTAGCACAGGACCATGTCCACCGGTCTACTTCTGTTTAAGTCATTAATCCAGAATCTAAACCAAACTAGATGCATTTATCCGTCCCAAAGAGCAAGCCTTAACCTCAATGCAGACAAACTACACGGTTCAGATTTTGCCCTTTCACAAGAAAAGTGAACATGATACGTGGAAATTCCACGTACAACAATCACGAAAATTCCCAACTACTCCACAGAGGCAGCCAAAAATAATAGTAATAATAATAATAATAATAATTCTAGTCTGAAGATTCAAAAACATTAAACCTTCTCACAGACATCACAAGAGCTAGTCATTGACAACTATGTCATGATTTATGTCATTACAATAGATACAAGTGAAGCAGGTTGCCATCAGAAGCTCGCACAATTTTTTCCCACTTGAGTGTACACATGCATCTAGAAGAAGGATCAACATAATAACAATGTTGGACCTGCTTTAAACATGCTTCAATATAGCTCAATTATACTATACATACAAGATATAACCAGCATACCACAATTTTCATTGATCCAATCCAGTTGCCGTATCTTTCATACTCTGCAAATTGCATATGCCTTGAACAATCTGCTGTCAGCTGCCTGTCATTCGTTCTGTAAATTCTGTTGTATGTAGATTTTTTACCTTTAATTTAACTCCCAGGTTTAGGAGTTCAGGTGATAACTGGCTCATCCTTTTGGCTGCTCAAAAGTGTCCCCTTACTTCATTGTACCTTCTAATTCTTCCCAAAAAAGTAAGTATTATCTAAACCGTCTTCATTCAAGTCCCTTTTACCTTAAGCTCCAGTGCATGATGTAAAAGGCCACATCGCAAGCTTGTAGCTCTTAATTAATTTCACGTAAACTATCAGCAAGCATACCTATCATTATCAGTTTCCACGACATAATTATCTTATCCGGGACGAATGAACCAAAAGCCTTTATGCCTTGTACAACAGTAATTTCCAGACGTTCCAAGTACAGATGACTTTCCAAAAGAATCTCTTTCCAAAGAGCTCCTACAACTTTCCCATCTAGCAACTTCCTTCAAAATTCAGTACATTTGTAATAGAGCATGAGTTGATGAGAAACATCCCCGCAAAGAACGTATACAACAAAGAAGCATCCGAAAAACAACTTGACAGTATCCACTGAAGTGTCATAATCAGGACCTGGCACCGACACCAGCCCAGCTCACAACTGGTTTCCAATTTTCCCAAATTTACATCCTGCGTGAATTCGTTAAACTCTGGCCAACCAGAGCTACCATTGTCCCAAAATCTACAGAAACACGCAAACCATGTCCAGATATGAACTAAACATCGACCCAGTCGTCTATCCTTTAATTAAACTTAAACGCAGCTACTCAAAACATCCAAGTATTCTTTAGGAAGGTGGGAGGTGGACCACATAGAGCCTATTTATAACTCCAAACCACCATTTTGAAGACATAAATCCATCACCATCCTCAGGCTCTATCCCCTCCCATAACTAGTTTAACATGAAATTATGAAGCAGCGGCCACCCCTGTTTCAGGGTAGGTCTCTGCAAGAACAATCTTAATCGGTTGCCATCCTGATTGATGATGCATAATCCATCTTTTCATGTATATTACCATGTTTAAGATCTGCAGAATTTCTCCCAATGTAAGATCTTTTAAGCATGTTCTCTTTATGACAGTAGCTGCTTCATACCTATCCAACACATCACAAGGTTCAAAGGATACGAGAAGTGTCAGTGAGCTTAAAACAATTGATGAAGAAAATAAAAAAGAAAAGGAAAGAAGAAAAGTTTCAAAACCTAAATTACAAAATGGTGATGGTTATGATGATGGTGATGATAAAAACAACAATAATAGCAACTATTAAAAAAAGGGTAAATCTGTCGCAAACCTGCACTGAGTAGCTAGTATTGCAGTTCGTCCAGAAGATGATGACAGAAATTTCTGGATTTCATCCCAAGTTGTTTTTGGATATTGCTTTATATTAGTATCCCCGAGGTTTATACAGTTCCATAGTCTCTCATTCTTACCAACATACAGCTGCACAGCACCTAAGGTCTGCTTAACTACCAGCTGCTGCTCAACAGCACACTCAAGAGCCTTCTTAACATCAGTGTTGCGATGTTTGGGATCTCCATAACGAATGCAATTGGAAATGTGCTCTTCAGTAGGCAAAAGCTTCTCATTTTTTAGTGTGTTCAATGCAAGTAAAACTACCCCCATAAGGCCTTGAATATATTCAGAAGGTTTAGGACATCCTGGAGTTCCCCAAACACCACTCTCAGATATAGAGACACTAGTGTTACCAACTTCTGGGGCAGGTGGTGGTGGAATCTGTTGACTAGGGCTTGGATACCTATTTCCAACTAATTCATGGGGCGCCGGTGGTTTCTTCTGCAAATTTTGCCCTTTCTGAGGCCTGTATGAATTGGCATAGTTGGTAGGTTCTGTCATAGATGTTTGTCTAAGCTCTCCTCCATTCCAAGTAGAAGGCTTGTGGTTGTTAGGGTATTCAGAAATGTTTATCTTACCAATATCAGGCACAGATGTAAAGGGTCCCGAGGTAAAGCTCAATGCATCAGGTCGGGGAGGACCAGGAGGCATTGTATGTGAAGGATACTGGATATGAGAGTTAGGCGGTAAAAAGTTACCAGGAGGCAATGCAAGCTGAGAAGGAAGGTTGTTCGGCCTAACTGGAATAGGATAGTGAATTTGTTGAGAGCTATGAGGAATACTGATATTATTTGGAAAAGGATCTGGATTAATCAAACTAGGGGAGGGTCCACTAAATGGAACCTTGGGATTCTGAGTAGCAGAAAACTCATGCAAATCATTAAAGTGTTTAGGAAGCCCATATCCTGATCTTTGCGGGTTTCCATTGTCAAGGTCATCTTGTGTGCTTGAAGTTCTTGGCATAATTGGTTGAGTCAAGTTTCTCCGAATTTGTCTTCCTTTGTTTTTTATATCTGTTCCCCTTCCCATATTTGGGAACCTCTGATTTCCCAAATGGGGACTATCATAAAATGAATCTGGGGGTTGATTTATCTGAATCGAATCAGAAACTGGAACATGTAATTTGTCACCATTGGAAGAAAACCCAAAGCTGTTATTCACAAATTGGGATGCTTCACTACTAGTAAGTGGAGGTCCTCCAGCCACAAGACTTGTCCAGAGCCATACACTTTTTGCTGCAGCTAGAAGAGGAACAGATGCTTTTTGAGGTTGTGCCAAAAGTATATTATATCTCCGCATGCGCAATTGGTGAAGTGCGTTCGAAAAATCTCGATCACCAGAAATCAACAAATAATTGGCAGGTGCAGGATTGTCAACTGCCCAGAATAACATGTCGACCAGTATCTTCTTATCACTTGCATCTTTAACCCCTATTCAAATGAAACCGAAATTAGATCTATTCCATTCTAGATCACAAAATACAAGAGGAAATATCTAACACGAGGCATATAACAGTGCTCAATCAGCAAGAATGACCCAAGATTCTCTCCCTTCCAAGTTTTCACAAGCAGCTTATTCAGTTTTCTTTTCTTATTTTCTTATTCAGTTTTCTAATCATGCAAACACTGTGTTGAAACAGCAAAGGTATTGATCAGGGTGACCAGAAAATTTTTTTTCTGTATGAAAAGAGAATCATCCAACAGCCAGAAAGGTATCCTTGTCTATTCGAACTTCGAAGCACAATGAAACATCTTGCCTGAAGAACTGACACTTGAGAAGGTAATGATAGTGCAAATTTTTCAGTAACAGACAACCAGTACAAGGTACTACAATAATAAATCAACTTATCAAAGTAGACATTAAACACTTAAATCTCAATGCAAAAGGCAAATCCACCACACAAACCCCAAAGTAACAAGCTTAACGAAAACCATGCTGTAAAAATAGCATGACCGATATTACAGCAAAATTAGCAGCCCCCTTTGCTCTTCCCAAATTTCCTCCTGTAAGAAAAGCAAGATCTATCCACAACTATTACTTATAACACACATTCCGACCAATTAATCAGATCAGAAAAACAGATCCAACTGATCACCGTACACCGACTCCTCGTCCTGTCCCCCAAACTCGACATCAACAAGCAAGCAAGAAAAAAGAATCAGACTGAGACTAAATCTAGCCACAGAAACCCACTTCAAAAATCCCAAAAAAGTTATAAACTTTACCAGAGTCACACAAAGCAACAAACCACCAAAAAACCCATAATTCCCTTAAAAATAAACAAAACCCACCAAAATTTTCATCAAAATCTAGACTTTCCACCAAAACCACAATTCCATATACCTGCAGGGACGTGATTGAGAGCAATCCCAGTACTATTTAGAGCCTGCTGGATAGAAGATCCAATTCTAGTAGTATCACCATAAGCAGATATCGAAACCGGCCCACAATAATTCATCTTGACTAAGGCAGAGCTTATATTCTGAGCGATCATGTGGGGTTCGCATCCTTTAGGCACATGACAATTCTCTATATCCCACCAAACCGATATCTTCGCCGCGGCATACTGCGGCTCCGCCACCCCCGGCTGCTCTGCCCCGACGTTTCCTCCTGCCCCGCCCATTATTAAACAAAACCCAGATTCTAATTTACAAAACAATTGTTGTCTGATTGTGGGCAAAGATTGATGGGCTTTCCTTTATCTTGGATGGCAGAATTATTCAATTAGCAGATCAGATTTTGGTTGGGTAAAGTCCTAATTGAATTGGTTAATGGGAGGGGAGAAAGTGGCTAGAGGAAATAATTTGGAGTGGTGGTGACTCCTGAAGGGTTAAGAAGCAAGGTGATGGGATGGTGGGGTGAGAGTTGTTGGGATTGACGTAGGAAGACTGGCATGGTCATGGTCTGGTGTTCAGAAGATTTAGAGATTGCAAACCATTCTACACTCCTCACAATGGTTTTCCACTTTTTTTCTTTTCCACCACTCTGTAATAGTACTAACTAATAATTACGCCACAGTTTTTCCTATTTTCAAAATTGACTTTACCTTCGAATTTTTGGAGATAGTCACACTTTATTCTACAAGTTTACACGAATATACTCTTAGAGACCTGCAAATTGTTTAAATTACTAAGAAGTTAAAATTTTTTTTTAGAAAAAAGAACCAATGCAATGAATAATGATTGACGAACAATGACAATAATAGTATCTACGAATTATCAGTGAAGAGTCCATTTAGATGGTGATTTTGTAACTTGTTTCTACAAAAATCATGTAGCATCTTTATTAACAGTTATTTCTGTGAGATCGAATCATCAAAACGTAGATGAAAAGCGTGTTTATATTTTTTTTTTGAAAACGTACTTTTGGTAAAACAAATACAAGCAAAGAGATAAGTTGTCATAAATAATTTGCTCGGAGGTAACCTATGTCACGATAAAAAACTCGCGTGTTGTGCATGTTATTTGAACAAATTATGTTAAGCAAATACAAAATGTACTCCACAAATCACTATGAGAAAAATAACTCTTGGAAATAGTTTAGCTAGACATTGAGTGTGTTTGGATTGTAAGTTATTTGAAATATTTTTACTGTAGCACTTTTTGTGATGTGATGTATGTGAGATAAAAAGGTAATTGGGAAGATAAAAAGGTGTATTGGAAATTGTAATGGTGATGTCAGCAAATATATTTGGCCAAATAATTGGCTGTCCAAACACACCCATTATTAACAGAAAATTTTTTATTGCAACTTTGATTTTACATCATTTGTGGCCAACCTGCAAGTATTTTAGCCATTAACAAATGATATGTGGTTTTAGGTTGTGTAAACCATACTATTTTAAGTAAAGTTTATGTATGTGTTCTAATTACTTAAATGAAAACAACAATTATTATCTTATACCAACTTTGTTATTGTTTATTCTGTCTAAACATTTACATTCCTTTTCATTTTTACATTCACAATCCTTAGCTCGGTTTTTGTAAGTCAAATATATTATTTGCATGCTTAAATATTTAGAAAAAGTTAAGTACAGACACTTCATAATAAGGAATATATATGGCTCATGCATAATATTCAAGTAGTAAGATAACTCACAAAAATGAAATTAAAAGAGAAAATTTGGTTAAAAAAGTAATTATTTCTGACATTGGAAAAAATGGTTAGATTTTCAACAAAATTCGCTTATCTCTTGTTGTTTGAAAATACAAATATTTTTAAGTTAAGGAGACAGAGTGCATATTTCTGAAATTTAAAGTGGTACAATGTGTCCTTTCTAAAATCTTGGGGGATTTGTTGTAATTAACCCTACTATGTTTGACACGATTTGACTTAAGATGGAATATGGACCATCCAGTGCCTACTTGCAGAAGAGTTTTCATTTTGGTAATAACATACAAAAGAGAGTTTCCCTTTTTTTTAAGAAAAAAAATAATTCTTGAGGTTGCCTTGCAAAAGAGTGTTAGGCCTGTTTGATAATGCAGTTTAGCACTTAAACTTAATAAATTCAAATATTAATATGTTCAAATGCGTTTGATAATAAAAAAATAGAACATCTTAATTAATTAAATGACATTGAATTTTTTAGTCAAAACATTATCTAAACAATAAGTGATCAACTGTTCATTTATCATTTAATGTGATATACACTCAAATATATCAAATTTAGTACCTAACAATTTAATAACTTAATAGATTCAATTTTCAATTTTCAGTTTTATCAAACACACCTTTAGTTTTAAGTGAGAAATGTGCAGATCAAAGAAAGCCACTAGTAATTCTCTAGATGTGAAATTTTTGCACTTAGGGACTTGTACTTGTCCCTAAAGAGATGTCATAAAATTAAACAAGCTACATACAATCTCTAAAATGTTTTACATCACAAGCTTGAGAGTAATGATGCGTTTACAATTGTACTCACAACTTGATATCATTAGCAATCAAAATTGAAATGGATCACAAATCGCTCCTTATCATATGTAGTTGGACAATGAATATCCTTCCTCCATGTAATTAGAGCTGTAAACGAACCGAATCGAACCGAGTATCTCATGTTTGAGCTCTGTTCGTTAAGCAGTTCGAACAACGTTCGTGTTCGTTCGTTAATTTTCGAACTCCAAACCTGTGTTCGTGTTCGGTTCGTTAAGTAAAATTCATATTCGAGTTCGAGTTCGAGTTCGGCTCGTTTAACATAAACGAGCCGTTCGTGAACATGTTCGAAATGGTCGAATCCAAATTATTTTATGCCTTAAATATGCCATGCAAATTATTAATCATTCTAAAAAATAATTAAAGCACTAAGTGACTAAATTCTATTATTCATTAACTATATAACTAACATTAACATAAAAACAATAAATAAAACAAAGAAATTTGCCCTTTAAATATAAAAGTCCAGCCATAAAATTAACCCTAAAATTTGTTAAATGATAATTATGTCTATGTTCGCGAACGTTCGTTAAAACGCGCGAACATGTTCGTGTTCGCGAACGTTCGTTTAGCATGTTCGCGAATGTTCGTTAAAACTCGCGAACATGCTCGTGTTCGCTCGATTATTAATCGAACAAAAAAATTCGTTCGAACTCGATTCGTTTAAAATTTCGAACGAGCCTTTCACGAACACGAACGAGCCGAAACGAACCGAGCTACCGAACAGCTCGGTTCGTTTAACAGCTCTACATGTAATCCACTAGCACCCACCACTAAAGAATCTAATTGTCAATCTTCTTTATTTGGCACAAAAAGGAATTTGGTGGGAAAAGGGGAAAAGAAAATAAAGGCCAGTGGGGAATTAAATTCTTTCTCTATCAATAGCGTTGCATGCTTTATTTTTAACCTCATTGATGTTCAACTCAGCCTGTAAAGTCAACCTCGATGTTATGATCAAGCTTATCAGTGAACCATACCAAGTCCAAGAACATAACGAAAGGGAAATACTCAATTTTCTTTTTGCCTTAATATGACATTTATTGAATGAGGAGGAGAAGGTTGAGGATAGGAGGTGATAAGGTTTCGACCTTCGACACAAATGGATTTGTTTGGATAGTGGGTTATTTCCTCAAATATATTTGCTTACATCATTATTACAATTTTCAATACAGCTTTTTATCTTTCTAAGTATCTTTTTATTTCACATACATCACATCACAAAAAGTGCTACAGTAAAAATATCTTAAATAACTCACTATCTCAAATGATTGTCAGCAGTCGTACGGTCTTGTTTGGATTGTAGTTTCTTAAGAAAAAACGTTTAACGTTTCTCAAGAATAAATTTTTTATTTCATATGTATTAGCTACTGAAAAATTACAATGAAGTCATTATCAAATTTATTGTCTTCATCGTAGACCACCGTTGCCCGGAAAGTTCCACTTTCACTAACTTTCCTTGTCAGATGACTCAGATCATGCACAAATTCCTTGTTTGCGCAGCAAACAAATGTGAAAGAAAAAAATATTGCATGTTGAACAGGTAGGGCAAAACCCTTTAGCAAGAAATGGCAAAATAATAATAATACAAGAATAAGGCAATCAAAAACTTGGGAGACTTAACTGCATCTTTTCCAATTAGGACAGCGAATAGAAAGCAAGAAAAACTAGAGCAGTTTTGTGTATGACTTCTACTACATTACTATTCCTTCCTTCTCATGGAAAGCGTCATACTTTATGTTTTAAAATATCTTAAAACATTTGTTATGTTAAAAAGCTCAAAATACCTTTTAATCTTTTTTTTAATATAACCATTCTTTTTAATTATATACATATTATCGTTCAAATTAAATTTTAAATTTATGGAGATAAAATTAGAAAGAAAAATATAAACATCATAATTAAATTATTATTTTTAAAAAGTTGAATTCTCCGATCATATGACTAAATAATTGGGACGAAGTAAGTATTAAACATGTGCAATCAGCTGTCAACAAACTTCTTGGGTTTCTATGTCTGTTTGTAAACAAGGGAACTAGTACAACTAGTAGTAGTACTAACTGATATTTCCAAGACTGCCCACAATAATTTCTGGTAATAGTAGATTAAAATGTGATTCACGGGCATAGTACAGCACTACAGCGTCATTTGAATTGGACACAGACAAAAAGGCCAAAACGAAAAAGTAGTACAGAATTTTACTTTTACTTTTAGTGTACAGGCAAGTTAAGGAATACTTCACCATTGTTCGTCGGGTTAGCTGCGCTGTTGTCGAAGGCTTTACAGCTCCAGCTACCTTCCCGCTTCCTCACGCTTTCACCTTAGCTTCTTCGAGCAAAGATCAGTTGTTGGCGTGCTTTCGTTGGTTTATGCATGGGACGGGATTTGCTTATACACTCAACGAATACAAGAGACTTCCAAAAGTTTTCTTGAGGACTAGGAGAGTTTATAAATGTCTCCTTACCATAGAATAATTTTATTGAATTGCTAGTTTTAAGAGTTTTTATACGTCAAGAAAAATATAAAATTTTTTCTGCGAAAACCACAATCCAGACCAGGTGTCTATGGGATTGTGAAATATAAGCATAAGGCAATGAATTTTGTTTTGGATGCGAAAATCATTGAAAAGTAGTAAAGTCACAACGGTTAATAGTCATTTATGTGAATTTTTCTTACATAAGTACGATGCTGTAGATTTTGCACGCATGCAAATTTTGAGTACCGAAAATTTGATTGCATTAATACGCCCATATCTAAATTTGCCTTCTACATCAGAGTTTTCCCCTAAATCTCTAATTGTTTGGATTGGGTTTTATTTCCTCAAATTTATTTGCTTACATCATCATTACAATTTCCAATACACATTTTTATCTTCCCAATTACCTTTTTACCTCACATACATCACATCACAAAAAGTGTTACAGTAAAAATATCTCTAATAATTCACAATCCAAACAGACAATATTTTCTGAAGCTTTCTTTTTTTTTTTTTTTTTATGAAAGATACAAATGTAACATGCACTATATATTGCTGTAATATAAGAATTTTTCTAATGAGTATTAATATAGGAATTTGATCGTGACAAAATAGGATTCAGATACACCACAATATCAACTTAACGAAAAATAGAAGTTAAGCTTGCATGTAAGCACAGTTATGAAATATAATCACACATGTAACAATAAATGTACATTACTTGGCCGACGAGACTTTAGTTCAGTGGCTAAGATTGAAATTCCATAATTTAAATGTCTCGAGTTCAAATCCTCTCCATTTTTTAGACATAATTTCTTCCTTGCTAGAAATTTTTGTTTTACAAAATATATTTATGATTTTGTAAGCTAGCCTGACAAAGGGAGGCTAGAATTTTATTCCTTAAATCTCATTCTATTCATTCTCTGTTAGAAAAATTTTAGAAAAAAGTACTTATAATTTTGTGACTAGGCCTTGCAAAGGTTTAAAGGCTAGGATTTAGGAGATGAACCAAGAGACATCACAATCACAAATCTATCAATAAAAGGAAAAGGATTCATCAAACCTAATTAATACCTATACAATATATAATAATATCAGAGGAATACTAATTAGGATAAACAATCCAAATTATTCCATGCTTCCTTCTTTTTTCTTTTCATTTTTTTTCCCATTTTTCTTCTTCATATTATATTACTTCAAATTGAGTGGCTGATTTCCTATGTTTTCTCAACCCAAATTAATTTATTCGCTGGGCTCTAAGTTTAGTTGGGCCAATGGACTGAGCTCTGGCGCACTGGCAAACCTGGGTCCAAAGGCTCAGCACGCCGTCCACGTGGCCGGATTTATCTTCCCCATGAAAATTTAAGATTTGCCGCGCTTACCTCATTCCCCCGCTATCTCCTGACCGACCTTCAGGCTCGGACTTTTGTCATTTCGACAAACCCGAGGCTCGGACTCTCCGAACCAACTCCTAGAAACATAACCGTCAAATCCGAACCTCAACCCTCATTATTACTCCCTGTCCAGTTGTCTTCTTCCCAGACCCATGTCGCTTAATATAAGCAACAATAATGTTAATCACTCAAGACCCCTTAATCACCCAAAAATCCTCGTCCCTCTAAGTCCATTCTTCGCCGTCCGATCTTTTGTCCCCGACTAATCAACGGCCGGTAAATCCCCTACGTTACATATTTATTACAATAATTGCAAGATTCCACCTTTACATCCCTATTATGAATCTTTTCAAAGTTCTCACTTTTCCCCTTGTTTGCATTGTTTTTTTTTCCTCAAAAAATGGAATACATTTTTCATAAATATATTTCACAGCTATATCAAATCGTTATAAAATAATTTTTTTATAAGAATTTCAAAAAAAGCAATGCAGTTGGAAATTTCTAACATTGCTAAGAATGAAATGAAATGATTGTGGGCGCATTTTGGACTTACACGCTATTTCCACCCTCATCAATACCACCTGTAAACTAATTATGCAATTGTGCCTTAATATTTATGTGAATTTTTAATCACTTCCAAATACAGTTAAAATGAAGTAATTAATTTAAATAGAAGTTAAAAGTCTATCTCAAAAAGTTTAAATTTGAATCTAACCCAACATTATAAAATTATGATCCTTTTGTGATAAAACACTGAATCGATTATTCATTTTGATTCCCTTTTGTTTTCCTTTGCCATCACATCCATCCACTTATTGTCCAACATTTTGTATAACATTTAAATTTTCGTAGGACTACTATAAGTAAGTTGAAAATTTAAAAAGCATTTATAAAAATAATTTGGAAAAACGACCCATTCCCAAAAGTTTCAATATAAACAAGATATACCGGCACCAAAGTAAGTTTGGGGTATGAAGTGCAAATTGCTTAAAGGTTAAGGGCGAAGCAGAGAATTAGCTCATAGTATCTCTACTTACACAACACATTTTTAAAAGCAGTGAATCCGGGCTTGTTTTTGTCTTGTGTGGTTACCTTCCTCGTTCGTCGTCTCTCTCTCTCTCTCTAAGTACATGTGTCTGCATCTATATGCTTGTATCACATGAAAGTTTGACTTAAAATTAAAAATGGTGTAGCTGAAAATCGAAGGATCAGAGTGGTAGTAGTGTGTATTTTCCGTGTTCTTTTCATTTATCCTCGTCTCCTCAACCATATAGATGTGAAAACTGCTATTATTTCTGCATGTAAGCTGTAGTCTTTCGTATCAAAAGAGGTTTCTTTATTTTCAGTTCAAAATCAATCTACAACTAAAAAAGGTAAGACTTTTGAGGCTTATACAATTATCTGTTCAAATACTTATCTTTTACCGTTCGTCTTTCCTTCTTGCTTTCCATCTGGGATTTGAGTTGAGTCCTATAGTTTCACACCCTTCAAGAAAAAAAAGTTTCAAATTTGAATCAACCTGAGTGTGGTATCTGTCAACGATGAGTAGCCCTGTAATTTATTTTCAAGAATAGTAATAATAGTGGTATATATGGTAGTGATTAATTAGCTGATTTAAAAGAATTTTCTTTAATTGTCAGCGAAATAAATGCTGGGTTGGCATACGTGTTCACATGAAGCGCCATGAAAGCATTCAACTCATAGCAAAGTGGGCTCATTTCTATTACGCAGAGTAGCAGAGGAGCATTAGAGTAGTTGTGTATGCAGTGATGTCATCAGTATCGACGGTGACGGAGAGGCCGTCGTCTTCCTCCTCGTCTACTTCCTCGGTGTCGTCGTTGTCGTCGTCGGTGGGACTGGGGGCTGGTGGTGGTGGTGGTGGAAGAGAAAGGGAGATAGATCCCTTGTTAAAAGATCTAAGTGAGAAGAAGCAGAGTTTCCGGAGGAACGTGGTGTCCTTGGCGGCTGAGCTGAAGGATGTCCGCAGCCGCCTTGCTTCTCAAGAACAGTCATTTGCTCGTGAATCCCTAACCCGCCAGGCATGTTCCGAAATGGAAAGATATATGAGTTTTTGACTTTTTGGAAGTGAAATAATGGGTGGGGCCTTAAGTTGATGATTGTGGTGAAAAGTTTTGGTTTTTATTATCGGGTTCTCGATTTGCTTAAAAATTTTGAGTTTCTTAATGGGTTTTTGTTTTTGCAAACGCGGATTGTTCTACTTACTGGGTTCTTGGTCTTGTGAAAAAGGGTTTGATTTTGCTATGGAGTTCTTGATTTTAGCCAAAAACTCGGCACAGTTGGTTTTGGAAAAGCTTCTGTTTTTATTAATGGTTTTTTGAATTGCAGGAAGCGGAGATTAAAGCAAAGAAAATGGAAGAGGAAATAAACAGACTACACAAGAGCTTGGAAGATAGAAATGGGCAGCTTCGTGCTTCTGCATCTACTTCTGAGAAAGTATTAGTTTCAATTCCACCTTTATGGTTATGCATGTGTTCGAAACAGATTGATTTTGTTTTATCTTCTATTATGGGTCTTCGGATTGCAAATCTGGTTTGTGATGATTTTAGTTTTTCCTGGTGATTTCACCGGATGGATCTGAAGGGAGGGATTGTTTTTCTTTAGCATTTTGTTTTTTCATAGTTTATTTTTGTTTTATGTTTGTGAGTAGATCCATTAGCATGACACCTGATACTCATCTTTTGAAGCTACTTTTTGGCTTTTCTTGTTTGTTATTATGGGGAAGTAGGAACAGGATTAACTATCAACTTCATTATTAAATGGTTGCCTTGCTTTACTTTTTTGCAGTTTGAATGGTTCAAAAAGTTTGTCCCTCTTATTTATATGAAATGGTTTGGGAAAGAGAATCTTTTAGTGTGAGATTAGGCCAATACAGCCATTTGCTAATATATTTGGCTTGGCAGTACACTGTCAATCTTAACATTGTTCAAATGTTTATGGGAGTATATGTTTGTTGTATCCTGTTTTTCCTGGTTCGCTTACTTTTAGTTTTTGAAAACTAGAGGGGTATACCCAAGCGAGAGTGATGTTACCATATGATTGACAGTATCATTTGTACTGGTTATGGTGGCAAAAGAACTTCGGTCCACACCTTTTGAAGTAGTTTGACCCTTAAAAGGTAAAATGTTAAACAACATTATTAGTTATGCCATACTCAGTTCTACTGGGGAGTGAAGGACAAAGCTAATTGAACTTAGAAAGAAACAGAGAAATTTTCAACGCTTTGTCTTTTTGGGATGGTATTTACTCCAAACTACAAGTGGAAAATTTTAAACTTCTTATTTATTTTCTAATTATTGTTTGTTTGTTCCTACTAGAATTTCTGGACAAGTGGGGGACTGAGTCTTCTCTTATGCACTAAAAACTATACAATAGCTGGAATCTGTGAAAACTGAATTTCATTTACATTGCCATATGGTAGAGATGATAAATTACGAGTTCCCTTATGTAAGGCGACATTCTTGTTCTGTAAATGCCCAGGGTACAATATCTTGTGTCTTTTCACAGCTTATATTATTCTTTTTTGCCTCCCTCCCCCCCCCCCCTCTCTTTTCTGGTCACTAAGCTGAGAACATTAATCTTTGAATGCAATGCAGTACCTTAAGGAGTTGGATGATCTTCGATCACAGCTTTCAGCAACTCAAGCAACTGCAGCTACTAGTGCTGCATCTGCAGAGTCTGCGCAAATGCAGTGTTTGGTGCTTCTGAAAGAACTAGATGAGAAAAATAATTCTTTAAAGGAGCATGAAAGTCGTGTAAACAAATTGGGTGAGCAGTTAGATCACCTGCAGAAGGATCTTCAAGCAAGAGAATTTTCCCAAAAGCAACTGAAAGATGAAGTCATACGGGTCGAGCAGGATATCATGCAAGCTTTGGCCAAAGCTGGAGCAAATAAAGACTGCGAATTGAGGAGGATATTAGATGAGGTTTCTCCAAAAAATTTTGAGAAGATGAATAAGCTGTTGGCTGCAAAGGATGAAGAAATAGCCAAGCTGAGAGATGAGATCAGGATTATGTCTGCTCACTGGAAACTCAAAACTAAGGAATTGGAGTCCAAGGTTTGACCACCGCATTTTCTCTTATATGTTACTTTACCCACAATTCATAGTTCGTCAATAGCCTTGACATTATTGTTTCTTGCAATGTTGAGCAGTTAGAGAAGCATCGAAGGGCTGATCAGGAGTTGAAGAAGAGGGTGTTGAAGTTGGAGTTTTGTCTACAAGAAGCTCGTGCTCAAACTCGCAAGCTCCAAAGGGTAATTTCCTATCGTTCTCGATGCTTTGTAGTCTCTTGGTGTAATGGTGAGATATTGCCGCTATTCCTGTTCAAGTTTGAAGCAAACTTGGTTTTGACATTTGTTTTCCCAATTTGAAAGACAAGATAAAGAGACTTTTAGCGGTTCTTGAAGCCTGAGCAGCTAACATGGCAATAAGCTCCACTCCCCCCCCCCCACCTTTCCAAAAGTCCTGTAAAAGGAGAAAGCGATTCATACGTGATTCCTTCAGTTATTTGGCATGTTAACATGCATTTCTAATCATATTACCCTGCTATACAGATGGGAGAACGTAGGGACAGAGCCCTGAAAGAACTCAGAGATCAGTTGGCAACTAAGCAACAAAACATACCTGTGAGCATTGACAAGCAGAATTTTTGGGAAACCTCAGGGTTCAAAATCGTGGTATCGATGTCTATGCTGGTCTTAGTACTATTTTCAAAGCGGTAATGTTATAGCCTGCAGGCCCTGTACCGTTTTTAGAGCAGCAGTTACTAGTTAGGACTGTGTAAAAAACTTAGGCTTCTAGCAGATACTAGTTAGGACTCTGTAAAAATCTTAGGTTCCTAGAAGCCCAGCGGAAGAAATTTAGGCCTTAGGGAGGCGGTAGATCTTGTTTAAGAGGTAGTCTTTTGTATTTGTATGGCAAAATCCTCTTTTTCCAGCTGCAGAGATTGTAGTGGCGATAAAGTTTCAATGAATATCGCTACAATGCTTAGCTTTATCCATTTTTTGAAGCAGGTAAATGGTGCTAATTCCTGGGGGCTGCAAAGCATGATTATCAGCCGTATCTTCCCAATTGTGGAGCAAATTGCAGCAAATTGCTTGGGTAGTCACGGCTTAGTTTGGGAGTTTATGAAGGAAGAGAAAAGAAAAGAAAAGATAGCTTACGAAAGAAAGGAAGAGGAGGAAAAAGATGCATATTTCGTTTGGGAGTTTAATGAAAGAAAAGAAAAGAAATATCTTTCTCTTGTTTGAGAGTTAGAGAGATATGGAAAGAAAGGATTTTATGAGAACACAACTTTACATATTTGCCCTTTCTATTTGTAAATCAAAGTCCAAAAATTAGCTTTTTTGTTCCCATAAATAGAATATTTGGACAAGATAAATTTCTAAAACAATTGCATATGCATTCCCACAAGGTGAATAATACAACAAATTTCTTGCTGGATTTCGATTCTCTTGCATGCATGTAAATCGCCTCAAGTTTACCAGTAATTATTCGATTATCTCAATCTTTACTTCTTCACCACTTGATCCATCCTAATGTTTATAAAATTTTGGGTAAACAACAAAAAAGCCCCCTGTGGTTAAGCAATCATACATAAAAATCCCCTGTGGTTTAATATCATACCAGTCGATACCCCGTGGTTTGAATTAACCTGAAAAGTGGACGGAAATCGTCAAATATTCGGCGTGTGTCTTAAACGAACTGCAAAGGCGCGTGCATATGCGAAAAACAGATTTCTACCACAAACTTTCACCTGATATGCCTATTTTAGCCTTCACTCTTTAATAATAAGAGACCAGCTTCCGTTTCTTCTGAGTCTTCATTCAATCTGTTTCCAGATTATTCAGTAACTACTGTAGACACCAAATTTTTAGTGTATTTTTATTTACTGTTATTTTTATTTTTCATGCTAGTTTTTATTTACTTTTAGTCTTTTATTTTTGTTTTAAGTCATTTTAGCATAGAATTTATTTTTAAAAAAAAAAAAGGGGGAAACCCGCAAGCGGGTTTCAGGCTATTTAACAAATTACTTAAAAAAAAAAAAATTTTTACATGCAAGCTGCGTTGAGTTGCACATGCCCATCGGAGGGCCCTAGGATGCCCAGCAAACCTCCCCTCTCATCCTCACCCTTCAGGTGAGGGTTTGAGAGTATGTGTTTGATATAAATAGAACAGAAAAGCAGCTTTTAGTCATTTTACATAAGGGGGAAACCCGCAAGCGGGTTTCAGGCAGGCTATTAAAGAATGTGTCAAGTAATTTAAAGAATGTGTCAAGTTTGTCGAACTCTGTAGGTTTGAGATAATTGAATTCCGAATTTTTGTACCTACCTAAAGACAAAGTTTACATGGCCAGACTTGCAGAAGCTTCGGCAGTTTTAAACTTTACTATTACCAATCCTTACTTTGGACTGTTTTCAAGGCAATTTAAGGCTTATTATATACCCAGGATCGTAACTTGAGCAGGGACAAGCATGAAACCTCTTGGGGATGATGAATAAGGAGATCTCTAATTTTGTTTTTGAACATCAGCCTCCATTCAAAACAATACTTCTAGTATTACTATCTTTGTAATCATTTCAAAGAAACATGCATTATTACAATAAAAGAGGCTAACATATTGTTTATGGACTCTGTGTTTATCATTTTACACTTTGAAGCTTACACAGGCAAATAAACAAACAGAATGTATGCATTTAAATTTCATATTCATGTATCACCACCGAAACTTACATGTACCATAACCATGCAAGATATAATCACAAATCAATAATATAAAGATCAAGATTTCCCGCAGACAAGAATTTTATACAGAAAGTGAATAAAAAAATTTAGAATATAAACAATAACAATCTACACAAAAAAATGCTTTTTCCATAATTTTCTAAAGAAGATTGAGCAAAGAAAGAAAGAAAGAAGAGATTGAGTCAAAGAAATACCTGTTATTGAATTGTGGGTGTTGAACGGAAGAAAGCCAAGTGAATCCAGTTGGAAGTATTGAAAGTAAGAGCTGAGAAAAAAATGAATCGGTGGTTTTACAAATGAACTTTAGGATATATTGGGAATAATAAATTTTTGTATCAGCTTTTAAGGGACAAAAATGTCATATTAAAAATACCTTTTGCCGCCTAACAAGTTTCCGTCCATTTCTTCCCATTTTTGGGCGGAAAAATTTTCACCAATTGGAAGGGATCCTATCCGTTCATTTCCCTTCTTTTCTGTCCATATTAAAACTCCCAAATGAAGGAAATGGTACGGCTTTCTCTCTGGTCACTTTCTTTTCTGTCCTTTTCTCTCCATCCAAAGGAAGCCTAAATTTGTTCAACAATTAAAGATTTGGTCACTTAATTATTAGTAGCATGTTTTTAGTCACTTGACTATCAAAAGTGTGAATTTTGGATTATTTTGTTTGATTCTACTATCAACTCTATTAGATTTAAGGGTCTGCACATTTCATGAGATATTTTATTAATAGTTAGATTTGACAGAATTAATTTTCAAAATTTAAATTTTTAATAATTTAGTGGATAAAAACATATTATTAGTAGTTGAAGAGTTAAAACTCAACTGCATAAAAAGTTAAGTAATTTGCTCTTCAATTATTTTATCGTACGGATGTAGGGGTGGAGGCAAGACCTCACCATAAGTGGAGTCAAATTTCAATATAGTAAAACTTATTTTGTTGGTGCTATATTAAAATTTTTATTAATGCAAAAATTAGAATATAAAAAAAAAAAGTAAAAATGATTAACATTACATATGTTTTCTCATCTTTTGAAAATGGGACAGGTGTCGGGTTTGTGTAATAATAAAATTTTTATTCATAAAAATATAAATGAGTATAACGGTAAGTAGGGTCATCTCCACAGAAATTACGAGGAAAATTTATTTTTTTTTTCAAGTGAAAATTAATCGAGGGAGTTTGGACAACTAAAAATAAAAATGGACAATCAACAAATTAAAAACAATTAAACTAAAGCAAATTAAACTTAATTTAAGGATAAACGAGCTCTAGTCAAGGAAATAACGTCGGGAGTGGTTCAAATAATTGATCATCGATTCAAGAATTATCTCAATTATTCGTTAATAAACATGTTATAGTTGTCATATACGCGATAAACAACTAGTTTTTTCTTAGTGTCTCGATAGTCAAAGATGCGCCTGTTAACTACTTCCTTAATCAAGCAACAACCTTAGGTATGACCGTAAAATTTAATTTCTTGATTGCATTAAAAACCAGAAAAGTTCTGTTTTAATCAACAAACACACTATTAGGATTTATTTAAATTAGATCGTATGTCTCCCTAATATGAAATCAATCACGCTAGTCATTACTAATTTAAGACAATTAAACAATTACGGACAATTATAATTTATCAAATTGAATTAAATATCAGGCGCCTTTGATATTCAAATAACTAATAACCATGAGAAATTAAATCAAAAAACATGCAAATACTAACATAAAAGAAACTAATAAAAATAGTTAGATCTATAGTTGTTGGTTAACCAAAAGAAAATTTAGTTGCTTGAACAGCACGAATTGATTGAAATGATTTTCATAAGCATCGGACAACGTCCAAAAGATAACGATCAAGATGGCCAAAGCTTTCTTGCTTTTTTTTGGCGACCCGTCACCCCGACCTATTGTCTACTCTTAGTACTATTCATTCGGTTTCTAATTGGCTAATCGAAAATAGAATTCTAGTCAAAAAAGGAAAAGCTCCTAAAAATAATGCTAATTGTTCCCTAAATAAGCATCTAATAAAAATGACAATTTCCTAATCTTCGCTTGACAGTTTAAGTAGACTTCATCTTGGATTGAAAAACTTGCGCTTGACAATCAACTTCAAGAAAATCGCCCCTTTTAGCACTTTTTGTTCTAACGTCCCTATAATTTACAAAATATCAAATATAAGTAGAATCCGACAATTAAAATAATATTTGACAGGAATAAAGGGGAAATTAACCATAAATTTAATAGCAAATTTCAACCTATCAAATGTTGCAAAATTAATTCATTATCAATTTGGTTAAATATATCTTTTCAATATAAGCTGTTGAAGCTCTTGATTTTTTTCTTGAAAAAATACTTTTTGAATTATCCTCAACTTGATATTTTATAGATTTCTTTTCAAAAAATTTTCTATATCCCGCTGTAAATTTAAAAAAATTCAGCATCCACTAGAAAAAGTTTTTGTTTTTGAAAATTTTGAAGTTTGAAAGAATTGATTTGAAGAATTGACTTTTCCACTCCACTCAAGAAAGCTCATCCCTTATTTCTGAAAATTTAGGAAGAATTTATTATTGAAATAACCTGACATAAATTCAAAATTCTTCTGATGGTAACATTTGTGAATTTTCAATTGTTTAGGGATCAATATATATATATATATATAAAAAGAGAATTTGTTAAAATTAAGTGGGGTCAAATAAGATGCAATTTTAAAATTTTTTGAATTTACCTGAGCCTAAATTCTAATTTTTCAAAGTTAAGTGAGGTCAGTAGACCCCACTTGCTTACATGTGGCTCCGCCACTGTGTCTGTGTGGATGGATATTCTTTGGAGGGCAAGCTTTTGAAAGTCTCCATCTTGCATGGCCAGGGCCGGCCTCATCTTTTAGTTTTCTTTTCCAACATATAAAGTAAGGAGCACAAGAAAACATTCTCTATTCTCTATTCCCTTTCGTGAGTGCTAGCTGTGTGGGACTCAAGAAAGCAAAATTGTTTTGCAGCTCTTTCTGAACATATAAAATGTTTTCATAGCTTTGATGACCAACCAAGTATTTGGTTAAAACCTTTAAACGTCTTTTACAACAAAACATTTGTTCATGTAGTTCCAAAAATTAAAGGAAGGAAGCAGGATAACTCTTTTAAAGGTTGAAGGGAAACTGGTCATTGATGCGGATGTTGGATAGAAGTGGCATCCGATGCAGGCTGGAGGCCCTTTCATTGGTGAATGCCAAACTAAACAGTCAACATTAAGCTCTTATTCTTTTCGTCTGACGGAGCAATATGTTGCTCTTCAATCAACTCTGTGATAATTGCTATTAACTAGAATTACAGGAGAGAAAATGGTATTGTCAATTAAGTCTTGTTTCGGTATCTATTAACCAATGGCCAAAACTCGGATAGATCTGATTTTCAAAGATGCAGAGTGGTCGAGATTATGTCGCACAATTGGTGAGATGACGTGGTACAATTCGGATCATCGCGTCTTTGAAATTTGGGTCTATCATCAAGTGTGAGATCACAAAGCACCAACGCCAACCTATGCAATCACCAACTCAAGAAAGAAAGTTTACGTTGTGGCTCATAAATTCTCAGGAAAAGTGGAGTGCAGCTTGAAAGTAGCTCTGCACCTAAGAAACTCCAATTATTTGTGCTAC